TTCCGATACAACTGGTTCCGCAATGAACTGCAATAAGAAAAAGAAAAATTGTATTAGCTACAAGTATCAATTGAATGAATATTAGTTGTGGAATAAAAACTGAGCGCCATATGAGGAGGAAGAGAGAGGGGTCCTTAAATTGGCGGGTGCTGTAGAAACCGCGCGATTCTCGTCCTGTCCTATGCTCGCAATGCTTTTCTACAGCGCTTAGGTCCGTTTGACGAAACGCGGTATTCGGGATTCTAGAATCCTTAAAAGGAAATTAAGGTGAGGTTGGGTAACTGGGCAGGAGTTCGGAGAAAAATGTCAAAATTTCAACTTCATGATTTTTTTCCCATCATTATATTGACAGTGGAGGCTACTTTTAAATTTTTTTTAGTAAGTACAACACCTTGTCTAAATGTAGGAAGAGTCAAAAGTCGAATTTCATATTTCAATTTTCTCCCACAAATTTTCAAAAATTTCCCGTTTTTTTCACCCAGTTACCCAACGTCGTGGGGTAACTGGACTACCCCCCCTTAATTTTTGAGGGGGGCATTATTTTTAATTCTCATTGGCCAGAAGGTGATGTCCTGCTCATGAAGGTTTAAGAAAATGTCATTTGAATGTATATAAACATGTTTAAGTGGTTAAGAATGATGTCGTAACAGTTAGCGGCAAAAAAACCCTCAAATCTGAGAATTGAATAACGGTAAAAAAAAATTGTTTCCTTGTAGACAAATGCTTAGAACTTTCTGTATTACTACTTATAAAGTAGTATTGTATACCAGGACACTGTTTGGCCACTTTTAGTGAGATTAAGCATGATACGTTTTTAAAAAATGAAAAAAAATGAAGCCGCAAGGCTGATCTGGGATAGAGTCAGGCGCCAAAAAGTTCCCTTAATTTTAAGGGGGGCATTTTTTGTAATTCTCATTGGCCAGAAAAGAATGTCCTTCTCATGAGGGTTTCAGAGAATTTCATTTGAATTTATATAACCATGTTTAAGTCGTTAAAAGTGATGTCGTAACAGTTATCGGCAAAAATGTAATTAAGTAATGCTTAAGTTATGCTATAATTGACTTAAGTTAGAAGTTTAGTGTGCTGGGAACCCTGGTTATTGGTCTTTGGCACTTAAAAGTCCACAATAGTCAATTAGTTTTGAAATTTTCAGAAGTAAACAAACACCGAAGCACAGCAACCTTGCAATGGGTAACTGGGCAGGTGCCATCACTGCCACCTGCCCAGTTACCTTGGGGTGGGTCCCCAGTTACCCCACAAAGGGAAAATTTTCAAGGTAACTGGGCATCAACCCTTTGCAGCCAGTATTTTCATCCAATTACGTTGTAATTACTCACGCATTACACAAATACGTCATACATGAAGAAGAATTGTCAAAGTTGAATAAAATACTTGCTGGGAGTGAGATATGAGGCTGTTTTCGGGACCACCTCTGGCGTTGTTTTGAAAAAAAAGCTGTACAATTTTCGGCACTTCACCATTCACCATAAAATTTTTTTTTGAAGTTATGTTTACATGTTCTAGATGGTTTACGTCATAATGAAGGTATGCCAACAGTGAAAACAATTTTTGCACTAATCTGGTAGAAATACAGAGGGTACTGCCCAGTTACCCCACCGCCCAGTTACCCAACCTCACCTTACGTGGGCGCTTAATTCCGTCTCGCAAAAATACGTCCATTTTAAATAATTACTGCGACAGAAAGGCGATGAGAGCACCAAGAAACAGCTACAGAATGCAACAAGAAAGAAGCACGGTCCGTTGAGGTTAAAATTAAGGAAGTTGTAGAGTCAAACGAAGAGTTGAAAAATGTCAAAGCTCCTAAAACACGTACCAATTTAACTTCTAACAGCTTCGTCAGACCCTAGTGGGATCTTTGTACTTAGGCGTGACTCTTTTACGTGTCTGTTTAACATAGGGTGGGTGTGGTTTGCGGTCCGCGGTCTGTTCACCCGTAAGCGGTAAGAAAACGAAATTTTATAGTGTAAGAGCCGAAGAAACGCTCTTATGTATTTTCTTCGATAATTAGTTAAAAAAAGCTAAAAGGCATATAAACGTACGACTGGCAGTGGTATATACGTTGTGTATACAATTTCATAGCGTCTTTACTGTTTCCATGGTTGCGCCTAACGCGTCCGCTGATGTTATTGTCATTGCGGTAAATTTCTATCTTTCAAAGAGCGACGCCAAGAATGGCACAATTTGGGCCAGAAGGGATTTTTCTGAAACCGGGCCCAAACGATACCTTATGATATCCTAAAACTCTGGTAAAAATTTTAGCTTGAGTATACCCACCGTTTTTGAGGAATGGGGGGACAGAGTTGCCGAATCGCCATCATTCTGAACAACATTTTTACAGCAAAAATACGGGAAAAATGGACGAGAAAGTTACACCATTGATGGGTTTGGGCTGTAAATGTTCTTATTGAGCCCCCGTGCATGTGATTGTCTTCAGTTTCAAAAATTCTGGACGTACAGTGGTCTAAAATGGGGAGAAATCGTGGATAGATAAGGATTCCTTGTCAAACTTTTTAATAATGGAAGAAAAATTGTTGGTCTTCTGCAGAGATCATGGGGAACAATGTTCTTATCCGTCTGCAATGCATTCATTCGAGTTCAGTTTATCAAATTTTCATTGCACAATGGTCCAAAATGGGAAATTAGTGGACAAATTAAGATGTTCTGCCTAGCTTTAAAAATGATGTACGACTATTGGTTCCCAGTAGACTTTAGATCGCAGAAAAATTCTTTAAATTCTTTTTTTTGACTATTTAAATTTCTTTTAAATTTTTTCTCTCCATTATTCTTTCTTTTTTTGGATTTCTGAAAGTTTGCATGTTTTATTGAAATAATACTACAAAGTCTATTCTATAACAAAGCGGAATCATTAGAGTTAAAGGCAGCTTCTATTGTTGAAGAAATCGAGAACTTTTAAAAATCTTTAACATGAAAAAGGTAAAGCAGCATCAAAATTCAAAGTCAGTGAAAACCCCAGAAGGAGACGCCTTGCACGAGGTGGCGTGAAGAAGGAAGCGTTTGCTGACCATTTTTGAGAATTTTTATGGCACAAGGAACGAAGAGATTAAAAGAAGATCCCTTCCTATCCCTCCTCAACACAATTGCTGACGTGACACACACAAACCCCCTGACGAAAGACGGCTAAAATGGGACGGCTTGATTGTGCAAAGTAAGTGTTTCTGTGATTCCAGATATGTGATGGAAGTTTTAATTGTTCAAGAAGTTTTAATTTGCTTAATTTACTCTTAAAAGAGATTTCATTTTTAATTTGTTTTGATTTTGCATAAAGTTCTATATTTTTGTTTTCACAACATAATGAAGATTACATTCCTTATGGCAATCCAACTTCCTTCAAATAAAAAAAGCTAAAGTACGGAACTGTATAAGGAGCATCGTTCAAAGGAATAAAAAGAAGCCCGAGTACAGAACTACGCCCAAATTTCCAGCTAAGTACTGAAAGGTAAGAAAGAGAAAAAAGGGAGAAAAGAACAAACAAGATTTACGGCCAGCAGATCGAATATGGGCCAGTTTTTCTATATTTTACAATTAAAATTGAACAAATGGCTGTAGGTCAAAAGCTCCGTTCAGTCTTCGCTGATCTTCAAATTACGTGTTAAGGCGTGAGTACCGTTAGGGAAACTCTAGGAAGCCCTAGAGAAGTCAATAATTTTATCCGAGGACTCGTGAATGCGTTTAAACAGTACTATTATGGTAGTTTTACCAAAGTCGAATGTCAGAAGAGGTTCTCTTATATTTTTTATGTTTCTAAATTCCTCTCAAAAGAGCTAGATTTTTCCAGAATAACTCAAGGAAAACTCACTCTCATGTTTTCCACTGACACCGTCAAAAACCGTTTAAAATTGTCAAGTACATACCGTTGCGTTTCCCTCCAGTGATGGCTCCGACATATCTCCAAATAATATAGTAGCCGATCCTGGATCGTGTGTATGCCGTAACCTCGTGTTTTCAATGATATCCGCGCACAATTCAAAAGAAGCTTCACACGAGAAAACTTCACAAGTCGATCTAAACACACCGTTATTTAACTTTTCGTCGGGCGCGAAAGCACTTTTAATACGCACGAAAGACTACTTGTAAGTTGCCACGCCTCAGAACGTCGATTGATTAGTGAAGATCTCAGAATTGAAATTATCCCAAAGAATAAAACATGAGGGAGAGGAAGTGGTTGACGACTTTCAACTGTACTACTGAGGGGTTATATAGCCGTAGCCAGGTTAATAAGCCATCTATCGCCAGCTGGGCCCTTCGCGTGGAGTGCATTTCTTCGATCTACCCTGGAGGAGTCATTGTACTCTACCGTGAACGTGAAGTATAACCACGTACAACTTGCGGCAGAGCAGCACTAGAAGCATTTATTTATTAACTTTATTGTGGTAAGCGGCTCTCGCTTCGTCCACAGTTTGCAAATTGCTGTGCCGTATCTATAGGTGTTTGCGGGTGGTAGAATGACATGGTTTCTTGTTTTTAATTCTCCAAATCAAGCCGTCTACGAAGATAAGTACCATCCGGCTACTTTGTTGACTTTAAAAACGAGGAGATCCCAGTCGAATTTCTGCAAACAAATTACAAGTAATGGGAAGTAATGCATACCGGCAAAGGTCCACCGTTTGATTCTATGCGCGGACTGAAGTTTAACCCAGTAAGACGCGCACTTAGACTGTAAGGGATGGTTTTTTTTTTTATATTCTTGATGTGTGTATTTTTGAAAAGTTTTCAACCCAAGTATTTTTTAAATCCAATTTCGCGCTGAAGTGTGACTCGCAGGATTGGTGTATTCTTCAGCAGTCGAGCGACGATTAGGGTCGGTGTCCAGCCACTACTAGAAGTTCGCAGTCTTACTACAGTCGTTCCAGCAGATGCACGTGCTTCGAGTGTCTGGCACTGCTTTTCCTGTGTGCGTCCAGTGTTCCAAAAAGAACGTGACAGTGTAGAGCCGGTATTTACCGGTAAAAATACAGACAATGTTGGCTTCTTATTCGGACTTAGGTGAATCTCATCCCTACAGAATATCCCTTGAAGGTGGTATAGCGGCTGGAAAATCGTGTGTTATGGATCATCTGGATGATTATGTAAAGAGGTCCTATACCAATCTAATCGGAGTGGTTTCGGAGCCCATCTTCCAATGGAAATCCTATCGCGGCATCAACTGGCTGAAGTTATTCTATGAGGATCCAGCAAAATACTCTTTCCAGTTTCAAAACGTCGTCCTTCAGACTCTGGCCAATTGGTACAAAAATCGACCGATGAAAGTGCTACTCACAGAGCGGAGTTTAGATAGTTGTATAAATGTTTTTGCCAGATGCTCTTTACAGAAGGGATACATATCAGCAAACCAGTATGAAATATTACGGGGATGGAGAGACATTGTGTGCGAACAAAATAGGATGAAAACGGACTGTATTATCTACCTCAAAACGAGCCCCGCTATATGTTACGAAAGGATGAAACAGCGAAACAGATTGGAAGAAAAAGCCGTAACTTTGGAATATCTGCAAGAGTTGGAAGGAATGTATGACGACTGGCTGTGCAACGAACAAAACGTATATATTGTAAACGGTGACAGAGACCAGCGCGAAATATACGAGCAGATCAACCTCATCATCGATTCTTTAACGAGTAAATTTTAATGATGAAGAGTGAATGGTAATAATTGTAGTGAGCGGACAAATTCATCGAGCACCGGTACGTGCAGTTCCTGTCGTCAAGTGAGTGTTGGTTTGGATTCATTTAAAATATTTTATTAATATTTAAAGTTGTGATAAATATTGTGAAATAAATTCAATTAAAACAAAAATTTGTATGCAAGGTTAAAACGAAAAAATTTATTTTTTAAAAAAAAAAACGTCGTTTTACATGCGTCCTCCAAATATGATAAACGAATTGTACAATTATGTATAAAGCCGCTTTTACAGGGGTCTCTGGCGTTTTGCAATACCTAGTCGCCAAGTCGCCTATCTTCCGAATGTTTCTCAAGGAATTGGCAAATCCTTATTTCTTATAAACCCTCTGTCGCCACTCTTTGACTGAGCGTCCCTTTTGTCTCCTTCCAGGAGAAACTTTATTAAGCGACTCCTTTGGCAGCCTTCCGTCCATCATTCTATTGACGTGCTCATACCAGACAAGGTATCTGGTCATGACGTCGAGTATAATGTCATTTTCGAATCCTGTGATTTGACGCATTCTTTCGTTGCGGACTCGATCTCTCTTAGAAATTCCTACAGATCTTCTCCAGAAATCCATTTCCGTCATTTTTTATTCCTTTATACTACCAGTACGGACACTGGTCCTTATTACTGAGCTTGTAAGCACATAAATGAACGTTTAAAAGTTAGTAGTCTCACAGTGGCAGGGTTTCTGTTAGGCGTATCTTCCACAAGTACTATACACTCGTAATATCGCCCTCTGATGACTCGTCAACAAAAGTGCATAAACTTATTTTTCTAGAGCAGATTCCAATTCGTGTAAGAAACAAATAACATACATGAATTCAGCAGCTATCATCACATTTTACCATGATTTCAGCTCTTATTGAGGAGTAAAATAATTGCAAGCATCTGATGAAACTGCAAAGATCACTTTCGAAGATTTTTTACAATCACACTTTGTAATTTTATCTTCTATCCTTTAAATTATACTTATCCCATAAACTTATCCCGGACTCGGCAGCCTCTAAACGATTACAGAATACTTTCTGCTTTAAATTTAAAATTTACGACCAAGATAATCTAAATTCACCAAAATTACTGCGGCATCTTAAACCTCAGTAACCTGAAAACCCAGCCTGGTTTGTCATCAAACTGCTTGACCAACCAATTATATACAAAAATCGTTACTTTACTCTCAATTTACTTCCACTTTTTCGGATTCTCGATACTCCTCTTCATTAGTGCAAAAATATGTGAAGAAAAAAAGCAAATTTTTTAGTGCAATTTAACATTTTGGGGCCATTTCCCTCCCTTCCGACCATCAGATTGTGTCGAACTTTTAGTATGTTGTTTAGGTAGTACAAGTAGAGAGATTCCCACGAAAAAACCTTTTGCTGCAAGTCATTCCGGGTCAACCGCTATTTTCCCCCGAGTAAAAGCTGTATTTGGCAGGTTCAGTCGATCTTTTATTGAAAGGATAAAACAGAGTTTTGTCAGCCATTTTCACTCTTGAAGAATCTGCCCGCTTGTAAAAATCATGATGAAAAAGTACTTAATAGAAGCTGGAAATCATGGTAATGCTGGGAAGAGCGCAGGGAATTCAAAAAAATCGTGGTGAGTTTATTCCTTTTTCGCAATGTATGTCGTAAGATCCGTTTTTTAACATGGGCATCAAGGTTTTTTTTTTTGGTTAGGTCGCTTAACATTTGAATTTCGGCTCAATCTTAACTTGTTCGCCGCGCGTCGGGAACAGATGCTACAGTCACAACCAAAGACATAAAGACGGAGGGCTAAAAGCTAAAAATGAAGCTTCTTTTCAACCACCTCTACGATTGGCTAGAGGATTGGCGGCGAAATCGGGACAAGTTTGAATTCAAATATAGGGCGGGAACTGATTAAAATAATTGCGGAAACAAAGTATTTTAGGTTGATTTTTGCCCAAATTCAGGTACAAACTCATATTTTTTTAACTCTAGGTTAGTTTCCGTCCGTCGTAGACCGATTAATTTCATTTGGGAGTAACGTTGATCTAGAACTGTAACGGCCTGTTTGAACCTGCAGAACCACCATGAGCAGAAGAAAAACTAACTTTATCTGAGATTACTGCCTGTTACCGAGCAAAAGTAGGTGTATTTTGTTAGGACACAGACCGAACTTTCTTAGTATATTCGTTTTAGGAATTTAAAATACGTTTCGAAGAAGAAATATGCAAAAATCAAGAGGACAAGTTCAAATCAAATTTCCGTTTGCCGCCATGGATTCCCGCGCTCATTTACACACTCACACAAGCGCGCAGCGCCGAACCTAGCTTCACTTTTTCCCCGTGCTTTTAGATACGAGCGCTCCGTCTTCATGTCTTTGGTCACAACGAGCCTTATTCGAAGCGAGCGGTTATTTGGCGGGATTAGCTACAGCATGGTTGAATGGAACAGCGACTCGCATCGAAAGAAAGTTGATGATTTTTTAAGCTCGAAAACGGGATTTTGGGCCTGCATTTAGCCGACATTTCTTAGTTGGCGTTCTACCGTGATACGTATTAAAAATAGATACAGGTAAATGCCGAGCGTTGGGGTCAATATTGCGGCTTCGTTTCATAGCCGAGTTTACTCTTTCGGTCCAGCGGCAGAATGAGCGGGGTGCGGGGAGGGGAGTTCTTAATATTAGGTATCAGTCTTTCTCTTTTCTTAGTGACGCCAGGACGACCCATCCGTGTGCTCCGAGGATGGATGCGGGGGTGAGAGGGGTTGAAGAGGGAGAAGAAAGCCGGTATTCGCACTTAAAATGAGGCGTTGAAGGGGGGGGGAAGCCGGTCTTGGCACTTAAATAAAAACAAAATGTAAAAAATTATAAATTATTTCAGTTCACTTGGGACTCTGAATATTTCCGACGGGGTTCGGACTTGGCATGGTTTTTTCCAAAAGCTGTTCAATTGCTTTTCAGTAGTTTTCCTCTGATTTAAAGCAACGAAGTTAAGATGTTTCCTTTAAAAAATAATAAATTTAATTAAAGGGATAAATGATAATATAAAATACTAAATTATTATAAATAAAAATTCTTTAAATAATATTTTCATCATCCTTCTCCCCGTTTTCGATCATGAAAATCTTAAAAACAGTTGCATTACCAGAAAGTGGAAAACACTTAAATTCAACCTCATATTTAACAACTTCAGGTTTATACTTTCGGATGATACTAATTCCAACTATCGTGGTCTCGGACCAAAAAGAAGTAGCGGCGCGATTGTAGTTTTTTTTACCATGCCTTGCAAATAAATCGCACCCAGTATTATCAAATCGTTCCTTTAGAAGTTTCTTTAGTAAATTTATATTTAGCTTTTTTCCACCGACCAAATCCATTGAAGTTAAAATAACCATGTAAAGTTACTAATGTAATTATCTCTCATTTCTACATCCTTAATAGCAACATTCCTTTTATAAAAGTGCACTTCAATAATTTTAAAGTTCTTCTTCCAAGGCATCCTTCATCAGCTGAAACGGGTAGTTGGAGCGCCAATCCTTATTTGTCCGGCAGTTTGTCAGAATTAGAGTTTCCAAAATTTTACATGTAACTGTATAATATGGATAGCATTAGGTAACTAAAATGACATATTACATTGGGATACGATCAATTGGAGGGATGGGATGAAAGGTATTGGTGAGAGATTGCCCGAACTGCTTCGAGTTCCTGTCGCGCCACGCAGCCATCTTGCCTTCTCATTCGAGGAGGACATTGCCTGCAACAGGTAATCATCGAAACACTCACTCTAGTCCCGTTCGTTCCATCGCAACGTCGTCACCTAAGTATTTTTTTCGGAAAGTGCGGAAGAAATCCAGAAAACTTACAGGTTGTAATTTTACTTTTTAATTTATTTTCTTTCAGTGATTTTACTTTAAGTCTATCGGTTTCTGCTAACAATTATACTTCTCCTTCAAAGGGCTGCTTTCTTAGTACTCATGTTATTTCTTATTATACCTATCGATTCGATTCGTCAAGCATTTTTTTTAATTTTGATTCCTTTCTTTTTACTTTCCTCATTTAAGCCTCTAGACCTTTATCTTTCATCACTTTTAAATTGACTTAAGGAGCATATCGATTGTGAAAATCGCAAACGCCTCATTCCTTATTCTTGTTGATTTACATGTGCATAATAGTTCATTTAGAGTACTCTTTATTTAAAACCATCTGCAGTTTCCTTGGAGAAAGTTCGTAATACGTCTAGAGATTGAACTGCGCATGCCGAAAAACCTCAGGTATATTTAATTAAATTTTGCAGTAAAATTCTACGAAATTACCATTTATTCTTTTTAGCTCCTATGATAAATTTAGGCTTCAAAGCCTGATTATATGTGTGTAGAGTCATTAAAGTTAGAATTATCGTACACATTGATTTTCCAAGCTTAGAGTAAAATATGGATTACATTGAATGAGGGTTCACAAAATACTGCAAGTGTATAAAACTTATTGACGTTTTCGAAATTCTTGGAGATTTAATAAAATTAACAACGACAAGTTTAGGATTTCAGTCGTGCTTGCAACTCAGAGATTCACTTCGGCTCAGAATTGGTGGAGTGTGTCCTTCGTCACTTTCTTTGGAACGTGCGTTTACATAAGGGGAGCAGCTGCATCATGACAAAATCGAACAGCGACTCGCACCTTCAGAAAGTTGATAATTTCTGACGCTCGAAAAAGGATTTTTCGGGCTTATTTCAACCAACAGTTCTTAGTTGTCGTTCTACCGTGATACGTTTTACAATTCCCCGCGTTAGGGCCTATATCCCGGCTTCGTTCCATAGCTGAGTTTACTCTCTCGGTCCAACGGCAGAATGGGCGGGGTTCGGGGAGGGGAGTTTTTAATATTAGGTATCAGTCTCTGTCTTCTCTCGGTGGCGAAAGGACGACCTGTCCGTGTGCTCCGAGGATGGATGTGAGGGCGAGAGGCGTTGAAGAAGGGGGGGGGGAAGCCGGTCTTGGCGCTTAATACG